AAAAACAGGAATGGGATGGGGGGGTCACCCTTTAACTGGATCTGTGAGACTATTTCTTTAAACAATAATAACAAAAAAGATGAAGCAAATACATACCAAAATATTCAGATCTGTTTAAGTAATATTTGCTTTTCAGTAATTTTGAAACATTTCATAAAACTTTTTAAATATACTTTTTTTTTTTTTCCCCCAGACAGAGTCTCGCTCTGTTGCCCGGGCTAGAGTGCCGTGGCATCAGCCTAGCTCACAGCAACCTCAAACTCCTGGGCTCAAGCGATCCTCCTGCTTCAGCCTCCTGAGTAGCTGGGACTACAGGCACGTGTCACCACGCCCAGCTAATTTTTTCTATGTATTTTTAGTTGTCCAGCTAATTTCTTTCTATTTTTAGTAGAGACGGGGTCTCGCTCTTGCTCAGGCGAGGCTGGTCTCCAACTCCTGAGCTCAAAGGATCCTCCTGCTTCGGCCTCCCAGAGTGCTAGGATTACAGGTGTGAGCCATGGCGCCCAGCCTAAATATACTTTTTTAAAGCCTAATAATGGCCGTATACTTCAAGGCCAGTTTCCTTAAAGTATATTTCCACTTGAATCAAATAGTTATAAGACACCTGGGTTTTATAAAATGCTGTCTGGAAAAATAATTTGACATGAACAAGAAAGGCGGGCCATATTCCAATCAGATAAGGGGGAAGGTGACTCAGCTCCTCCTCTTGACCTGGTGCCCTAACAAGGTAGGTGTGCCCTTATATGTATATTCCTTGGTCAGAAGAACACACTGACTGGATGTTTGATTTTGAATAGCTGAAAACTATTCAACTATATAAAATTCTTTGTACCCAATAATTGAAATAATTGTTTGGGGAGATAATGGACCATGTACCAGGTACTGCTTGGGGACAAAGATAAATGAGAACTTGTGTCTATATTCACAGTTTGGAAGACAAAAATATAAACACACAGTTAAAATATAATTGATTAAATGCTAAATTAAAGATGTCCACATTGCTCTATTGGACAGAAAAGAAAGAACGCACCTGATAAAATGATGGCACCATTAACATAAAAAAAAGGGAGAAGCAGGAGTTGTTTTAGGGGCTCTGGGTAATAAAAAAAAATTCAATAAATAATATTGGGCATCTACTATGTGCCAGATAAATCTGGTTTCAGCCATGTTGAGACAGTTAAGACATGTGGGTGGAGATGGTCAGCAGGCAACTAGAAATGGTAGATGAGAAACTAGAAGACAGGGTGGGCATGATAAGGGACTACAAAGCTAGGGGAGAAGATTCCAGAGAAGAAAGGATAGAGGACTGACCTTGAGGGAAATCCCACCATAGAGGGCAGAGAAGGTATACAGAGTTTCTGAAACACAGTACACTTTTATATGACACACCCATTAACATGCTGTGCAAGTTTCCCGAGTAGAGAAACACTGAATTTAGGAATAAGTGGGGTGAAAAGAAATAAAATTACTGGTGAAAGGAAAGAGAAGGCAGATGAGGTTTTTGTAAGATGAGCAAACCTAGGAATGTTTATAAGGCGAGGGTAATGATGCAAGAGACGGCCATCACTGCCAGAGCTCAGTCCCTAGAGAGGCAGGCCGGGGTGAGGAGCAGAGCAGTGGGGCTTGAAGGAGGGCAATCCTTCCTGCAGCAAAAGGAAAAGAAGGAAGGCCTAGGTGGGGACAGAGGAAAGGCACGAAGCAGAAGGAGGGAGACTCAGCTGTTTAAATCAGATGGCCATCCACCCCTCTCAGTGAAGTAAAAGATTAGGTCATCTTTGCTCAGGGTGACAGATTTCAAGGACTGATTGAGGACTTTAAGAGTGAAAAAGCAAGTTTGGTGTTGACAGTGTGCACAAGCACAAATAATAAAGATAATCATCAGTGACAATACCAGTCTAAATGGGGTTAAAAAGTAAGCATTTACAAAAAGCAAAGTGGAAAAAAATTTTAATGCATGTTTTTTGAAAAAGGAAATTTGCATCTATCTAAAAAAATACATATGAATTAAAAACTAACATCTCTTTTACCTAAAATACTTGGGTTATAAGGTATTCCACTTACCCAAATGGAATACTTCATTCCAGAGTATCGAGGTCTACCCTTTCAGACAAAAAGAATTTTATATTTAACCATTTCTACTGGAAACTAAACTATACACGTGTCTGTCTTAATTATAAAACTTGAGTCTAAATTAATCTTAATCTTGATCATCCACTGTTGCTATACTGTGCAGCAATACAATTCTATCTTTTTTATAGCTTTTCTATGTCTTTCCCAGCTATCAAGATACAAAAGCAACTGGTTCTTCTAAGTTTGTGTTTACCCTTAGCACCTCAACAACCACAGCCCACCTTAGCAACTTGCTTTCTAGCTGGCCTCACACAATGTACCGTTTCTCGAAACTTTTCTAAACCATAGTTCTTTCTAACAAACACGAGGCTCTCATTCCCTCCATTCCTTTCATGGAGCATCGCAGCGCTGACCTGTTGCAGTTTAGAAAAATGGAAAAACTGAAAGTGAATACCTATGCTACCTCAAGGTTTACGTCATAAAATTCTAGGAAACATTCCCCCCGCGCACATCTAGATTAGCCAAATATTAATCAAAACACGAGCTGGAAGGTGAGGCTTAGCTAACAGCCTTAGTTACCCTCTCAAACAAAACGGCTGTTACTTTCACCAGGGGGGGAAGAAACCGGATTGCAACAGGCCATCTGAAGGCCGCTGCCTTCTAACAATCGCTTTTCCGACCTACTTTTCAAAACTGACTTCTTAAGAAATTACCATGGTAGTACTGATAGGTTCATTTCTCATTTTCGTCAAGTGACCCACAGCACTAGTCCTGTAATTTTCAACCATGGTAAATGAAATGTTAGAAACCTCTCCCTATTTGTTTACTATAGAAATTATAATAACCCTGAGCAAAAGGTTATTTGGGGTGAGGAATTAGGATAGAAAAAAAGCAGCAGCTGTCTTATAGAGATGGACCGTTCAAAAAGTAGAAAAATTTGCTTAACTTCTGGGCCTTCTTTTAACCGTTCTGATAGTGAAAACACTGATCAACTTAATATTGTCGTTATTTCTCAACTTTGAAACTTTTCCTAGTCCAACGGAACTGCTAAGTGACTATAAAACACAGCTGGGGGTGTCATCGCTCTGCTAATTAAGGGCACCCCTGCTGCCTGGCCACGGAGTATAAAGCCCCTCCACTTTGCCAGCTCTTGTGCAATCCACCTTTTCTAGTCTGAATTCCCACCTCTCCCCTACCTAAACCATCCACTTCCACCAAAATGTAAATACTTGCCGTTTTCTGAAGAAGCTTCACCCTTGAAATGCCCTTTCCGCAGCTACAACCTAATGAAGTCCTACCCATCCTTCGGTAACCTTCTCAAAATGCCACCTACTTCAGGTATCTTTTCCTGATGCCCCAATTGGAAATATCTTGCCCTCCTCTGACACCTGTCATTAGTTGTACCTTGCCCGCAGCACTGAGTTCATTTCACCTTGTCCCATCTACCTGGGAACAATGAACTTCTTGCAGCCATCGCCGGCACTACAGGACCCTTTTTAATCTTTCTTAGCACCTACCACGGTGCACCGCTAACACTGAGTTCCCATTTACCAGGACAATTGTACAGTGTGCAATCGAAAGTGTGCAATCGAAAGTACTTCAGGGGATGGAACTCCACCTTAAAACTTCACAAATAAAGAATCTAAACACAGACAAATGCACAACAAATACGCACGTTATGTTGTCCTCCAATAAGAAAATAAAAAGCATTCTGCCCTTTTCTTATTCCTCAAAAAAAGCAAACACCACAAACAGATCACTAATAGCTTAAATACAGTTTTTCAAGAAAATTGTTTCCACATAAATGAATACAAATGACTCCTTCGAAATTTTATTCCTCCGCTTTTATGCTATACAATTTGTACCTTTTTCCCTATTGGACAAAAGAGTGGTGAGAACTTTCCCATCAATTTTTATTTTTAGTTCTTTAGTCAGATATTCGAGGAGGCAATGATTGTTGGGAAACAACCGCACCGAGGGTTACCCTAAGCCACGTAAGACTTTACTTAAGCAAAAATAAAACTTCCTAGGGTCCCATCTGCCTTGGTGAGCCCAGGTCCCCGGACTGCCACCCGCCCCGATGGCCCCCGGGAGGCTACAAACGCCGGGGGAAAGGCGCGGGGGCGCTGAGGGGCGAAATGGACCCTACGCCCGGGCGGCGGCGCTGGCCGCCTGCGGCAGCTCAGCTGAAATGCAGCGGAAACAGCAGCCAGTCACGGGGCTGCAGGAAGCAAGGCAGGAAGGTGGCGCTGCCGCCGAGCGCCTGTAGCCCGAGCGCGCATCATGGCGGCAAGGGCAATGGCCGCTGTGGGGAGCGAGCACGCCCCTCCGCGCGCACACGCGGTCGCGCCGGGCCTCCGGGACCCGTCACCGGCGCCGCTGCTGCCGCCGACCGCTCTCCCACCCCCTCTCACGGGCTGTAGCGGAATTTTCTCTACAGACACCGCCTTCAAGATGGCGGCTCCCCCTCCCGGCAACCCCCTCAGTCGTCCCCTGCAGCAAGCGCCGAGCCGCCGCCATCTTGTCCCCCGTCCCTCCCCCCCTCACCGATATTTACATAGCGAAAATCGGCCCGGCCGGCCTGCGGCCTTCACCTCATGCCTGCAGCCTTCGCCTCCTCGCCAGGCCTCGCCCCCGCGGGGTGCCCCGGGTCGGCCGCGACGCAGACCCGGGGCCCCTCAGCCGCCTCCCGGACGGCCGGGCGACCCTCCCCCAACCCCCGCCCGCATACGGAGCGCGCCTCCGCCGCCGCTCGGGGCAGCCGGGCTCCTCCCCGGGCCTAACTGCGGCCTCCTCAGGGCCTGCTTGGCGCGTCGCGCCACGCCGCCCGGCCTAGCGCGGGAGGGCGCCTTGCGGGCCGCCGACCAGGCCGAGACCAGGCCTATGCGCGCGCGCTAGGCCCCGCGGCCGCGGCGGCACCCGGGACTCACCGGACGGGCGTGCGGGCGGTCGGCGACGGTGGCGGGTGCTGCAGGCCGGCCTTTCTCTGGAGCACTGGGCCGGGCTCCGGCTGGTGGGGCGGGCGGAGGGAGGGAGGAGGGGCCGAGCTCGGAGCTGACAAAAAGCGGCCCAGCTCCCCGGCACGGGCCCGCCGTCAGCACGTCACGTCACCGCCCGGGAGAGAGACCCAGGAAAATGCGGAAGGGTAGATGGGCCCCCTCCTCCGCCCGGTGGGTCCCCCTGGCGCCCCGGGTCGGCGCCGCTCACGCCCCGCGACCGGGGAGCCAGCCCAGTGGCCTCGCTGCGGCGGGGTCTCCGGCGGCCGGAGTCTCCGTGACAGCGCCCCCCTTCTTTCCACCTCCTCCGCGCTCCCGCCCGCCGCCGCCGCCACACACGCGCCGCTGCCGCCGCCTCGGCCGTAAAGCCCGCGCGGGGCCGCGGTCCGCCGACCCCGCGGAGAGCCAGGCGGCCGGGCCACCCCCCACCATGTCCCGTGGGCCGCGGCCGCCCCTGGGGGCCTCCCCGGAGACCTACCGCCTCTCCGCGCCGGTCCTGGCCGAGGCGCCAGCTCGAGTTGTTTGCAGGCCCTCAGACCCCCGCCCGCAGTAAATGTGTTTTCTTCATCCCCGTAGCCGGGGAGGAAGATAAATTTAGCAACCCCCGCCGTCCCCTGCCTTCGCTTAAAAAAAAAAATCGTTGAAATAAAATGAAAACGGGCTTACCAGTCTAAATGGGTGTGCGGGCAAGAGGAGGGGGTAGAAGGGTTATCCGTGGAGCAACTACCAAGCTGTTTAATATTTTTTAAAAAAAATAAGCAGACAGAGAGCCAAACTGATTTTATTAGTTTGCGGGGGGCGAGGGGGTGGAGTTGAGAAAAAGGTTACATTTTGAAACTGGCCTGGCACATTGCAGTCAACAGGAATTTTTCGGGTATATTTTCTATATACCTGTGTTTCACAGCTTGGGAGCCTATGCAATGAAAGTCTTGGGTAATTACTCATAAATAATGAATTTTCCACATTCTTTAATAAATAGCAGAATTGGGTATGGATTTTTTTACAAACTGCTTAAGCCTTTTAAAGTTTAAAAAGACTTGCGAGAGAAGGGGAAAATGTATTCGATTAAACAGCACTTACAAACTTCAAAAATGTGTACTTTGCATTTTCCTAGTTGAAATTTTTATGCTTTCTTCCCATACTGAACTTGGGACCCAAACTATGTTTAAAATTTACTAGGAAAAAATTAAATAGTTCAGTCTTCACGTTAATCTGGAGCCTGAAACGCTATACTTCTTCAACATAGCACTAAATATGAGACTTTTTTAAACATTAAAGAACACAAAAATTATAAAGCAAATAGTATATTGGTGTGAAATCTCTTTAAATCCAGAGGCCATGTATTTTAGTTGACTGTCATAACTCTTTTTTAAACTCCCAGAGTGCAATTTGTCCCTTCCCTCGGACATCTTACAATCATAAAATGCTTTCAAAAAGGAAAAACAAAGGTAGAGGAAGAAGAAATCTCAGAGAAAGTACTGGATGATAATTTTCCTGTCAGGACTTTAGCTTTGATTTTTTTTTTCAAGCGATTAAATTTCCTTTCAAAAAATAATATATGACGTGTCTTCATTGTTTATAGAAAATCCCATCAGGCTGTGATATAGACTGTATTCACAGAAAGGTAAATAAAACTAAGCAATATTGTTTAAAGCAAAAAAATGAGAAATCACTTGTGTACCCACAATTCACATTTCAAAAAATTGATAACCAGCGTTTAAGTATTTTCCAAGGGCCTCCGTTTAATGCTATGGTATGTCAAGAATGGGGACTCGCATCGTCAGGGCAACTGTAAGCATGTTCAGAACATAAAAACCTAATGTCAGCATTCTTACTAGTTTTTCCATAATTACCATCAAATAAGTCCAACAGTGTAAAGCACTTAAGAAAAAAGTGTCGGCCGGGCGCGGTGGCTCACGCCTGTAATCCTAGCACTCTGGGAGGCCGAGGCGGGCGGATCGCTCAAGGTCAGGAGTTCGAGACCAGCCTGAGCAAGAGCGAGACCCCCGTCTCTACTAAAAAATAGAAAGAAATGATCTAGACAACTAAAAATATATATATAGAAAAAATTAGCCGGGCATGGTGGCGCATGCCTGTAGTCCCAGCTACTCGGGAGGCTGAGGCAGGAGGATCGCTTGAGCCCAGGAGTTTGAGGTTGCTGTGAGCTAGGCTGACGCCACGGCACTCACTCCTCACTCTAGCCCGGGCGACAAAGTGAGACTCTGTCTCAAAAAAAAAAAAAAAGAAAGAAAGAAAAAAGTGTCCAAGGAGCATAAAGAAAAAAGATATTTTCTCAATTTAGAAGACAGTAGTTTAGGTGTTGATACTTTCAAAGAGCCCCTTGTCATTACTTTTCATACATAAAGAGACTTAACTTTGGTGGGAAACAAGGAAAGGATGGCCTGTTTCTATTAATTATATAAAATAAACTTTTATTAAAGTCTGACAAAGATTATAGATGACTGTACAGAAAAAGTCAACTAGGTTTTTTTGAGTTTTAAAAAAAAGGAAAGTAATTTGTTCTTCAAATCCATTTATGGAAGCCTGTAAAGAACAGTGTTAAACTGTTAAAAGAACAATGATAAAAATCATTTTACTAGAATAGGAAGTGTAAACAGCAGAGATCAGGAACGGTTTGATGTTCTAATAAAATACGAAATGTAGTTTATGGAAATACTCACGATAGGACCTGAGGACACCTAAGATCACTGAAAGCATTTGGTAATCAAGTGCTGGGTGATTAAGCACCAGGCATCTTGTACTTAAAAGACCTAGTACAGCCTATCTTGCCTTGATACTTTTGATCATTGTTTTAACATTAGGGACCTATAGAATTCTGGGCACAGGGAGTAAGTAATAAAGATGTGGTGCTTGCCCTTGGGGAACTCAAATAAGGAGGCTGTGTATGGCGAATAAAAACATTCTTAAGTGCTTTCATTTTCTCACTTAAATAAACACATAATAAAAGGAAAGTTTATCTAGGGAGATTGAGAGCAGAACATTTCAAAAGCATATGCTATGAATACAAAATAGCTGGTTTCGAAGCAGTCAAAGGAATTTTGATTATGTGCTAAAATTTATTTGTTCCTTCAGAGCTGGTAATGTATATCAGATAGTTAAAAGCATCTACTCAACGTTTTGACAGTGTTTTAATAACTTAACTAAAAATCTCTGACATGTTTATAGGTCTTTGAGTCAGAAACGATAGAAAGCCTTTCAATCATTTTTCTAGAGAAAGATTAGTCAGAAAAGAAGCTGTTGGTTTTCACTCCACATCACTGACTGATGGGAATTCAAATAAGAAACGATAAATTATTGGTTTATGAGAAAATATAGACCTTCTTAAAGTTGTGGTGATTCATTATTTTATATCCCAAAGGTTAAAAAAAAATTACCTTCCCCTAGAAAGGCCCTAGTTTTATTGAACTAAGCATGCCCTATAAAAATCAATCATTTATCTGATACTTGATACTTAGATTATACTTAACACGACCAAATTGCATCTTCTGTCGGAATTCAGTTGACTGTCTATAATTAATGCCAAGTAATAATGTTTAGTCTGAGTCTTTAAGCCGTACACCTTCCCCAAGGAAAATAATTTTAAAATAAACAATGACTGACAGGTGATTTTCGAGCACTATTTTTCACATGAGTCATTAGTTGACTAAGACATTGTTTAATTCCTGAAAATCACCAATAGCCAAATTCTACCTCATGAATTATAAATCACAGGACACAGCAAACAAACTAACTCCACTAAAGAGAAAAAAAATTAATATAGAGGCCTAGAAACAATGAGCACCCCTAGTGCCTCTACCATTTTCCACCGAAGGCACCAGGGGTCCTCAGAGAAATGACTGATTCCTGGACTGGAGCAGAAAAGTACAAGATGAGCCAGGAACATCTCCTTATAGCAGAAAGCCAAAAAATAAAGTATCAGTTTACTAGGAGTGTGTTAAAGGTCTCAGGAGCCAGTTTAAAGAAGCTCCAGTTAGGTAAAGTTGAGAAAATTTAAATGTCAAAACAATAATAATTGCTATGGATTGAAACACAATGGATTTGTTGATGAATTTATAAGACTTTAAAAATGATCAACTAGTGGTGATGGTTGCACAAACTTTATAAATGTACTAGAAACTAGTGAATTGTATGTACACTTTAAAAGGGTGAATTTGATGGTATGAGAATTTTATCTCAATTTTTAAAAATTATCACTTTTGGAGAATGCTAGGGAACCAACTCATTATTTTGAAAACTAGTAAAGGGAAAGATGAAGCATTTATCCTGTAAGAACTGTTCCTCAGACTAACTAAATAGTTGATGAAGGGAACTCTCTTTTAATAAAAATATTCCAACTGATGTAAAAAGAAGACCTGATAAAATTAGAATATCACCATTTTAAAACCCCTAATGAATTAATGGATCTTGGCAATGACCATCAGTGGCTGCTAAGCAGAGAGACAACAAGACGTACGCCTCAGGATGGAAGCACACAATGCCACTAGCCAAAAATATCAAACCTGAGCCTGATCAACCCTCTAACTCTAACTACCAATTTACAGGAAATACAGGGGACAGAGAAACGTATCAGTGAAACCACAGAGATGTGATTGACAAAATCCAGTTGGTGGGAAACTCTAAAGGACAAATGACCTGCTTTTTTGTACAAATAAACTATAAGAGGGGGGAAACCAATAGATTAAAAAAAACTTAAAAGACATGTCAATCAATCACAACGTATGAACTTCATTTAAACAAACAACTGTAAAAAAATGATGAGACAATTGGAGAAATGTGAACACTGAATTTTTGTCAATCCTCCACTGGATACGTGCTGAAATATACAAATTATTTTTAATTCATTTAGGTGTAATGGTCGTGTTGTGATTATGTCTAAAAATGAGTCCTTATCTTTTAGAGATACATAACCAAAATATTTACAGACAAAATGATGTGATATCAGAAATGGCCTTCAAAATAACATGGCGGAGGTGGGGTGAGGGTGGAATAG